GTTGCGGATTGATTTTCTCCAATCCGTCAATTTGGCAGACGGATGGCAGATTTGAGGTTCATTTGGTCGCAACTGAACCGCCAAACCGCGAGCACTCTTAGTAATTTATAAGACTTTGTGTTTTCAATTTGTTTAAATATTTTGTTTGTGTTTTCAATTGAAAAAGAGTTCAAATATTCTGTTAAAAAAAAGTTTTCAACTTGAATATATTTTTTGAATTGAAAAAAATAAACGTATTATTTATCTATATTTTTTGGTTTTTAAATCTAACTCTAAAAGTAATAAATAGAAAATATGATATATGTTGATTGGTTTTTGTTTTCAAAAACACATATAAATGTAACAATACAGAGACATACAATCTCTACTATTGCTCTGTTCATGGTTTTGGTGGTTTCAGATTGTAATATTTTATGTGGATGATGCATTCTGTGATTGTAATATGTGGATGAGGCATGCAGTGATTGTGATATTCTAAAGTTTCAAACTTTTTTTCTTTGGATGAAACATGCAGTAATTGTAATACTTTTTTAAGTTATTGACTGTAATACTTTTTTTTTTTTTTTTTTTGAGAAAGTGCACAAGTTGAACCATGTTGAAAATTTATAAAATTTCAAACCGCCAAACCAATTCGCATCCATTCGCCAAACCGCCAATCCACATCCGCCGGATTGACACACGGATGCGGATTGATTTTCTCCAATCTGCCAATCTGGTAGACGGATGACGGATTGGAAGTTCTGTGGCCGCAACCGACCCGCGTCCACCCCTCGTGATGGGTGCCGTGGTTGGAGTATCGTCAGATGTCATAGGACGATTGTCGTGGAGATTATCAAAAGTCATAAAAGGTGGTCAAAGAATTAGTTCGAGTTTATTGAAAGAGTAATATTATAGGTATTAATTAATGTATTAATATTAATTATGATATTATTATTAATCTCACTTATTATATAAATTATAAACATTAAAAACATCTTAAATTATATTATATCATTAATTGATATACTAGTTAATATATATATATATATATATATATATATAGCATTAGAAATTTAAAATTATATTATATCATTAATTGATATACTAATTAATATACTAATCAATATATATATAACATTATTCTTATTGAAAGGTATCAGAAAGTCTATAAAGGTTGATCTACTGGTCAGGGCCATGTGAGAGAATAAAAGTGTGGCAACCTAATTTAAAAAAAAAAGAAAAAAAAATCTTCTTTTTTTTTCAAAAAGTTTTTAACATTTTGAAATTAATTTTACTTTTATGAGAACAAAAATAATATACCAAACAATTTTTTGTTATAAGTTTCCAAACAAAAGGAAAATAAAAGCAAACATCAAAAGCATTAATTAAATTTATTTAATATTTTAAAATGTATTTTTTAATTAATGATTTTACTGGTTCACTTAATTTTTCTGGTTACATAATCAATTTTAAATAAAATTTTATCAAAATTCAATTTAAAAAAAAATTATTTCTGCATAACCAATTTATAATAGTATTATCAACAATATTCTATAAACAATACATATATTCAAAACGATTATAATATTGAAATGATAATAATCATCATACATTGGTTCACTTTTTAAATCTAGGTTGGTTAGGTTCATCCCACAGCTTAATCCTAAGACCTAAATCGAACCCAAATCCTGCATGTTAGGGGTGGGCGCGGATCGAATGCGGCCACAGAACCTCTAATCCGCCATCCGTCCACCAGATTGGCGGATTGGAGAAAATCAATCCGCATCCATTCGCCAATCCGGCGGATGCAAATTGGCGGATTGGCGGATGGATACGAATCGGTTTGGCGGTTGAAAATTTTACAAATTTTCCACATAAAAAAAAAACAATGAAATTAATAATAGTTTCCGTTAAAGATTTTACTGGTTGTTTTTCAAGAAACCCAATATTTGATCTGAGGTTACATCTTTTAGAAATTTGAGGAAAATCTAAAGATATTGAATCAAAAACACTAGCAAATGAACTAAAATACCCACAACAACAACAACAACAACAACAACAACAACAAAGAAAACACAGGAAACATGTTTTAATCTTTATTATTATGCTAATACTAACTGATATATAAACACAAATATTAGAATCCTAGCCAGTGATTATAATTAAGGGACAAACAAAGAGAGATTCATTCAGGGCTTGTGCTGCTTCTGGGTATATATATAATCACTATGAGCAACTAGTGTCCTTATCAAGCACTCTTTCTCCTTCACAACTAGTTTCTTCATTATCAACCCTAAGGATTATGAACAGACTATGAACAAATAAAAAATCATTTCAGAACAGATTATGAACTTCAGAACAGATTGAAGAAGGATTGAAAAAGGATCAGTAAGTTTGATTAGTTACAGAACAGAAGGATCAGTAAGATGAATCAGAAGGATCAGAACAGAAGGATCAGTAAGTTTGATTAGTTACAGAAGGATCAGTAAGATGAATCAAAGTTTAATGTTCACTGACTAAATTACAGAACAATGAGATTAGTTTGATGTTCACTGACTAAATTAAACTGACAAATGAGATTAGTTTAAACTGACTAAGTTAAACTGAAGAAGGATCAGTAAGTTTAATGTTCATTGACTAATGTTCAGTTTGATTAGTTTAATGTTCACCGACTAAATTAAACTAAATTACAGAACAGATTAGTTCACTGACGGCTTCGTTTGGGAACCCTCATTTTTAGCCAAAAAGTCAAAAAGTTACTAAATTAGCCAAAAAGCCAACAACCCATGCCAAAAAGTCAAAGATTCTCTTTTCTCTCTACTTTTTGCACATCTTTTCGTAAAAAGTCAAAAAATATCCCAAACATACTAGTTTTTTTTATCTCATATTTTAGCCAAATAGCCAAAAGGTTACTAAATTAGCCTGTTCCCAAACGAGGTAAATTACAGAACAATGAGATTTAGAACAGATTAATTAAACTAAATTATGAATCAAAGTTTAACTTTGATTATTAATATATTATGACTAAATTATGAATCAAAATTTAATGTTCACCGACTAAACTTTGATGTTCACTAAACTTTGATTAATAAAAAACTTTGATTATGAATATATTATGAATCAAAGTTTAATCTTTAAACAAATTATGAATCAAAGAATTGAAGAAGGATCACTAATTTAATGTGAATCAAATTATGAATCAAAACAGACTGCGAATCAAATTATGAATCAAAACAGACTGTGAATCAAATTATGAATCAAAGTTTGAACAGAACAGATAACAAGAAAATAGATTGTGAACTTCAGAACATAACAAAACAGGTTGTGAACTTCAGATTAATCCCAGATTGTGAACAGATTAAAACAGGTTCTGAATCAAAATAGATTGTGTACTTCAGAACAGAACAGATTAATTCAAATTTCATTTTTATACAAACAAACTACCATCACAGATCTCAAAATTAATCTAATATTTTTTCTATGAAGTCCCTCAGAAAATCCACTGCAGAAGCAAATAACAAGAAAAATAAACCAAACCCCTCTGTGGTTTTCTCTCTGTATTCCTTTCTCTGTGTGTAGAACCCTAACACTGTCAATCAATCTAACCACGTCTCTAGTTTTAGAACTGGAACAAAACAATATAATAATAATAATAATAATAATAATAATAATAATAATAATAATAATAATAGATTAGACTCTAAAAGATTAGAACTGGACCCAAAAAAAAAAAAACAAACAAACAGATTAGACTCAGAGAAGAAGAGAAAAAAAGAGAAGAAGAAGGAGAGAGAGAGAGAGAGAGAGGTACCTCAGTCTGTAGTAGATCGATCAATCTAACCACCTCTCTAGTTTTAGAACTGGAACAAAACAATATAATAATAATAATAATAATAATAATAATAATAATAATAATAATAATAATAGATTAGACTCTAAAAGATTAGAACTGGACCCAAAAAAAAAAAAACAAACAAACAGATTAGACTCAGAGAAGAAGAGAAAAAAAGAGAAGAAGAAGAAGGAGAGAGAGAGAGAGAGAGGTACCTCAGTCTGTAGTAGATCGATCAATCTAACCACCTCTCTAGTTTTAGAACTGGAACAAAACAATATAATAATAATAATAATAATAATAATAATAATAATAATAATAATAATAATAGATTAGACTCTAAAAGATTAGAACTGGACCCAAAAAAAAACAAACAAACAAACAAACAGATTAGACTCAGAGAAGAAGAGAAAAAAAGAGAAGAAGAAGAAGGAGAGAGAGAGAGAGAGAGGTACCTCAGTCTGTAGTAGATCGATCAATCTAACCACCTCTCTAGTTTTAGAACTGGAACAAAACAATATAATAATAATAATAATAATAATAATAATAATAATAATAATAATAATAATAGATTAGACTCTAAAAGATTAGAACTGGACCCAAAAAAAAACAAACAAACAAACAAACAGATTAGACTCAGAGAAGAAGAGAAAAAAAGAGAAGAAGAAGAAGGAGAGAGAGAGAGAGAGAGGTACCTCAGTCTGTAGTAGATCGATCAATCTAACCACCTCTCTAGTTTTAGAACTGGAACAAAAAAAAAACAGATTAGACTTAGAAGAAGAGAAGAAAAGAGAAGAAGAGGAAAGCAGAAGAAGATGAGAAGAAGAGGAAAGCAGAGAGAGAGAGAGAGAGAGATACCTCAGTCAGTGTAGATCGATCGCCGTTTCCTGTAGATCGTCGGACGATGGGTAGGGTAGAGAGAGAGAGAGTGTGTCTCCGTCGAAAAAAATTAGGGCAAATGAGGGATATCATAAAGGAAAAGGGGGGTTTATTAGTTATGACATTATTTTAATTATAAATTATGAGTTCTTTGGTCATATTTCGGATTGGTTTGGGATGTTATAAAAAAGTGTACTTTTTGACTTATTGGTTTATATAGGTTGGGTTGGGTTTGGGGGGGCTGGGGGTCACTGGGGTCCCCAGCACGGTTGTTTTTTCATTTAAGCTTTGTTTGTAGCCGTTGGTTTTGAGTTCAACGACAGTGTCTACCTCTCTCTCAACTCTCTCTCTCATACTTGAACAGAGGTGACAAGAAACGATCGGCGTCGGTGACAGTGATGGCCATCGACGATCGCCGATCGGCGACAGTGGCGGCGGCCAGCGATCAAAGCATCAATTTGAAGGTAATGTTCTCTTCTCTTCTCTTCTTCTCTTCTCTTTTTGTCTTTGATCGACGATCAGCGACTGTGTTCTGTATTTTTATTTATTTATTTTTTTCCAGTAATTAGGGCTTCGGCTTTTTCTCGTCTCTTCTCTTCTCGTCTTCTCTTCTTGTCTTTGTATAGATCTTCTTATTTTTTCAGGGCTTTGACTGTGTTTTGATAGGACTTCGACTGTGTTCTGTTAATTAATTAGGGCTTTGACTGTGTTAAATTAATCATGTTTCTGAGTATTTGATCAATGACAGCCCAAATTGATGACATAGACTCCATGGTTAAGGTTGCCATGGAGTGTTTGACTGTGTTAAATTAATCAGATTAATCTAATATTTTTTCTAAGTATTTGACTGAGCATTTGATCATGTTTCTGTTGATTAATTAGGGCATTGAAATTCTCTTCTTCTCCTCAATCTGTAATTTTTTTTTCCCGTTTTTTTTCCAGTTCTAAAACTAGAGAGGTGGTAAGATTGATAGTGGGGGTTCTATACACAGAGAATGAAGCTTATAGAGAGAAAAAACACAAAGGTTTGGTTTCTTTTTCTTGTTATCTGTAATGGATTTTGTAAGAGACTTCATAGAAAAAGTATTAGATCAATTTGTTATTTCTCTTCTCCTGTTCTCTGGTATGTCTCATGTTCTGATTAAATAGTATTACAGTTGAACTGATTTGATTTAGGAACTATTGGTATGATTTAATAATATCACACTCTGGTATGATATGATTTAATAAACTAGTTTGATTTAATAGTATCACACTCTGGTATGATTTAGGAATTGCTTCGAAAATGAACTGATTTGAGCAATTTGTGTTTATAAATTGATTTAGGAACTGAAAATAAAAAGATTCATGACAGTTGAGAGGGGGGCATTTGAGATATTCAAAATGAAAATAATAGATTAGTTTTTGGACAACAACCTCTCATATGTGAATATGAGGTGAATTATGCCCACCAGAATGGAACCAATTATGCAACTGTAAATAAATATTGGTTGTTTTGAGGAAGTGCACTGTTATGTTACATACATAGATGTGAAAATTGCCCAGGTTTTGGATGACTGTTAATTTGTAAGTGCACTGTTATGTTAAGTGCCCAGGTTATGTTAATTTGTAAGTGCACTGTTATTTTTTGGAAGTGCATTGTTATGAATTGCCTAGGTTTTGTGAAAATTGCCCAGGTTTTGAGGAAGTGCACTGTTATTATTTTCATTGTTTTTTTTGCATGTTTTCAACTGTTAAACCGATTCGTATCCATCCGCCAATCTGCCCAATCCGCATCCACCGGATTGGCGGACAGATGCGGATTGATTTTCTTCAATCTACCAATTTGATAGACGGATGGCAGATTAGAAGTTCCATGGCCGCAACCGATTTGCGCCCATCCCTAGTGCATATGGTACACATTTTAAAGGGGGTGTGTACCATAACATTGTCCTTTATTATGATGATATATACGAATAATGTACAAGTAATAAATATGAGTAATAGAATATATCGATGAAGTCAAGACCCGAACCAGCGTGGGTTAGTCAAGATGGTTCCCCATGCTACGAATAATTACATTGTCTTATGGCAATTTTATGTTAATCGTGCCCAATAAGAGTTTAAGAATCACGTGACGCTAAAAATAAGAAAATGATGGAAAAATTATATGATTTCATTGAATGAGTGAACAGACACAAGGTCTTCCCAACCTATGTAATAATTTCTACATTACTACACACTTAAAAGAGAAAGCACAATTCGAAAGAAACCAACATGATTAAAACTACAAAGTTGCAGTCTTCAATCTAATACTATCAATAGGTTACACTTGAAATGATCTTAATTGTTTCAATTAATTTAGACATAGTTATAACAATTACAAAAATCACAACAACGTGTATATTTCTAAGTGTATGATCATGCTCTAAGATTATTTGTTTATATCTATCAAATACGATTGTTGTCGAATATAAAATTATGTTTAAAAAAATAAGAAATTTTGCAGCTTTTATGACCATAATTGAGAAATTCTACAGTTCAAAACTTTTGTGTACATAATACATAACTGAGATATCTCTCAGTTGACAGCGAAATTTCCTATTTTTCTACCATGGATTTTTTAAAATTTTTTGTTGTTGTGATAGATCTACTCAAATAGTTTTCAAAATGAACAATATTATAAAAAATGAATTTGTGGAACAAAACGTATGGAATTTTAAAGTTTAAAATAAATAAATAAATAAATGAACATAATTATCTTCAAATCATTATTGTGCCTATCACATTTTAATAATTAGAAGTGTTGACACATATTGTGTGTGAATCAATCAAATCGACTGTTACTAATAAAATTTGTTTGATAAGAAAAGAAATTGCTCACTTGATCCAATTTCATTTAAAAGTGGTGATATGTGGAACTTTTTAGTGGGTTGATAAAAAAGAATTGTGGGACTTCTACTAAAACTATGGATTAGATGACCCATTAAAAACTTGCCCTTTGTTTAATTTTTTTGTTAGTTGGCCTGAGGCTAATCATGCTTTCATGGGCTTTGTGGTGGGCTGGAATTGGTCCATTCTATTTGAGATCCGGGCTGTCGAACTTTTCATTTTTTGTATTGCATTCAAATAAAAACTCCATACGTTTAATTAAAATTTTAAATTTTAAATTCTTATTATATTTTAATTAAAATTTATTAATAAAAACAATACACATTAAATCTTAAAATACAATATATTTTTTTATGGTATATCCAAACCACGTATACGTATTATTTATATTTAACTTCCTTCATCTTCTTCCCCTAGTTTCAATGTGTGTTTAGTTTGAATTTTTTGGATTATGTTTTTTACAAATTGAGTTTTTTTATTTTTAGTATTTTTTTTTATTTTTAGTGAATATTTTCAAAATTTTAAGTATTTTTTTTTTACTTTTTTAGATGCACCTTACTTAGATGTATTTAAAAAGTAAAAAATTTGTGAAAAAAATATTTTAAAAAATTAATAAATACATAAAAATATGAAAAATAAACTGAATTATCCTATTTTTTGGTATTTAGTGAATTTTTAAAATATTTGTTTCACAAAAATTATAATTTTTATGTGCATTTATGTTAGGTGTGTCTAAAAATTAAAAAACATGTTTAAAATATTAAAAAAATTTAATAAAAACAAAAAAAATACAAAAAATAATAAAGTAGAATTTTCTGAAAAGTATTTTTAGAAAAACTAAAAACAAGCAAAGTGAAATTATTTTATCTTTATCTTCTTCACTCAAAAACTCTAATTCATCCCACTAAAACTCACTATTATCATCAATATCATTATTTTTTTGTTGTATTGTTACTTTTCTTGACAATGAGATAAAAACAGACAACAAACTGATACTACATATAGAGACAGAAACATGTACACAAACAAATATAGATATACATCACTCAATAAAATGAGCTAGGGTTAAATGCAATATCAATTTTTATGTTTATTCAGCATGTGTATTGAGGGAAAGAATCGACATGTTTCGCCAGCAAAAAGTTGTGGTGATCAAAATGTAATAACTTTAATGAGAAATTTATTTAAGGATTTTTCAAAATGGTATTATTTGAGAATTTTGATGTGTTTATTATTTGAGTGTATCGTGAAGGATAATTTGAAAAAAAGAAAAGAAAAAGTGTATTAAAAGTAAATTATAATCTTAAATAATTTAATAGAGTATATTAATAAATTGAATATATTAATAGAGTATATAGAATCCCCCGAATTGACCTTGAATGCCCAAAACAAACAAATGGTAAAATGGCCTAATTATTAACCTACAAGCCCAGGAAAAATGTGAACTAAAACAAAAGTGACCAAATTGACCTCCCAACCAAGGACGCAGTGCCAAAGGCCTTCGGGTCTGATGGCATCACCTGCCATTTTGTTTTTGAGGGCAAACCCCTCTCTTGAAAACTGAAAAAAATACTGTTAGATATTCATACTTTTAATATGATTACATTGATTTTTTTTTTTTAGTAAGCCTGAAGTGATTGAAATTAATACAATGGTGGATAGATACCAAAATAAATAAAGATAATATACATTTTAGTAGAAAAGATATGATATCATTTTTTCATTTACACGACTAATAAATTGTTGATGAAAAATGTCATAACTGTTATGTGATTACACGACGTCAGTTTTTCATTCACCTGGAGGGGGATGGATTCTCTGAACATTATCAAGGCATTTCAAAGTCAAATTGCACCTTTCTCTGATTGTGAACATATTGACTCATGCCGTGAGCAAAAGTAGATGTTTTCGGCGATTCAAAGCTTCTTATGTGCGGCGTCAAGGTAATCAACTGGCTCATGGTTTAGCTAAGTTAGCTCAGCATTATTCTCAACAAGTGTGGATGGAGGAAGTTCCACCAGCTTTGGTGGATTTAGCTCGAAAGGAGGCTATTTTTTCCCCATCTAAAAAAAAAAAAAAAAAATCAATGTAAGTATCTCAAAAGTGTAGGAATTATTATAATTATTATTATTATTATTATTATTATTATTATTATTATTATTATTATTATTATTAATTTTTTTTTCCAAATTTAGAAAAAATGAGTGTAATTTATCCCTTTTTTTAAGTTGAGGTTGGAGGTTCAAATATCTCATCGTTTCTCTTTTTTTTCGGTACAACGGAAAATGAAAAGACAAAACAGAAGAAGCAAAACAACACAAACAGAACAGCTTAAGGAAGAGAAGGGCTCTGCCTACGAGAGCTGTGTCCGATCAAGTCCGCCACAACTTGACTACGGATTCCATCCGGGGCATCTTCCATAACAACAAGAGGTTCATCTTGATCAGCACCCATTTTAGCCAGACCATCAGCACTCAGATTACCCTCCCTCAAAACGTGTTGGAGAGTATATCCACATCTGCGGATAAGGAACTTGGAGTCCTCCACTAGGCTGCGCAGAGAAGAAATTACCTCAACTTTCTTCTTTTGCATGTCAATGGCATCCATAGAGTCGGTTTCTATGATCAAATCCTTATAACCTTTTTCAAAAGCTATTGTCAAACCACGATATATGGCCCAGATTTCTGCCTCAATGCATGAACACTTCGTAAGCTTCCCATAAAAACCGCAAATCCAGATTCCTTTCTCATCGCGGATCAAGCCACCAAAACCGCCATCTCCTGGGTCACCTCTTGCGTTGCCATCTGTGTTCATTTTTAAATTTCCTGCAACAGGGGGAGTCCACATAACTAGTCTATCAGATAAAGGAAGAGTAAAAGAGTGTTTAAAAGCATCTTTTATATCCGAAGCATAGCTCAAGATAGAAAAAATGCTGTGCTGCCAAGGAGTGTGAACATGTTCAAAAATAAATTGATTCCAATTTTCCCAAATTTGCCACAAAGTGACAACAAAGGTTGTATGGCCAATAACATGTGGGTACTTAGCCTTTAAAATTGATTCCAACCAAGCATCAAAGGAGAGATGCCTGCAGTTAAACAGCCAACTTGCACAGTTTAAATTAACCCAAATAGGTCGAGCTTTGGGGCAGTTTCTAAAAATATGATCAACATCCTCCAGTTGATCACCACAACTCTCACAAGCAGCAGAGTCAGACAGCCCTCTTCGGGCTCTTAACTCATTAGTCAACAATCTATGGTGCAAAGCTAACCAAATAAAACCCTTGAGTTTTTGAGGAAGCTTCAACTTCCAAAGCCAAAGCCAATTAATGGACTCCACCTCAGAGCCACAAACTAAATCATAAGCTGAAGCAGTAGTAAAAAGACCACTGCTAGAGCCTTTCCAATGTGGTAAGTCAGGAAACGTAACAAACCTAGGAAGGTGAACCTTTAAGATAAGGTCCAAAGCCTCCCTAGGCAAAGTGGTGGAGATTTTTATCAATATCCCACCGTCCAGCCTCATCCAAGATAGTTTCCACCTTATCTGTATTGATGAAGTGAGAGTGAGGAAAAAGAGACGCCAGAGGCCCCTCACCACACCACCAATCAAACCAGATAGAGGCTTTAGACCCATCACCAATGCTCTACATACAGCCTTTCAAAATAGTAGCACAGGTTTTAAGAATACCCCTCCATGTGTGAGAGGCCCTTATTTTACTCGAATAGTTAAGAAGAGAAACCCCATTAAGATATTTAGCTTTTAAAACAGTGCCCCAAAGACACGGCTCACCATTCAAAAGGCTCAAACCAAGCTTGGACATTAAAGCAATATTGTTGTTCTTGGTTTTTCTAATACCAAGACCACCCACTTTTTTACTCTTACAGACCAAATCCCACTTAACCAAATGGACTTTCTTAGTGGTGCCCACATCACCCCAAAGGAAGTTCCTATTTAGTTGATCCAGATCTTTACACACCTTAGAGGGAACATCCATAGTGTGTATCATATAAGCGGCGAGGGCAGAATTAACAGATTTAATTAGAGTGGCCCTTCTAGCAACCGAAGCATACTAGCTTTCCAACCCGTCAGTCTTTTTTGGAGCTTTTCAAAAATAGATGAGAAGTGGGCTCTGCTCACCCTATTATGCAGAAGAGGGATACCAAGGTATTTGCCCAAATCTTGAGTGAGGGGGATCCCACATTTAGTGCTCAAAAACCTAGCATTAGCAGCAGGCAGATTAGGAGAAACAAAATTTTTTGATTTAGCAAGGTTGACTTTCAAGCCCGAACAAGCACTGAAGTAGTTTACCACATCTAGAATGGTTTCACAATTGCTATTATTAGCTTTAGCAAAGAGAAGTAGATCATCGGCAAAGAATAGATGAGAGATGGCAGGTCCTCTAGAAGATGCTTTAACACCCTTCCACTCCCCACTATTGACTTTAGAAGTAATCAAGTTAGAAAGCCTTTCCACACACAGGACAAAGAGATACGGGGAGAGGGGATCGCCTTGGCGGAGACCCCTCTTAGGATGGAACTCACGCACTCGTTCACCATTCCACAGAACTGAAGAGCTAACCTTGGTCATACAATTCATAATAAGGTCAATCCACTGCTGATTTAAACCAAAATCAACCAGCGTGTCATGCAGAAAAGACCAAGAAACATTGTCATAAGCTTTTTCAAGATCAGTTTTTTAAAATCATATCACCCTGTTTGCCCTTTTTGTATCTGAGTGTATGGATGATTTCTTGAGCAATAATGATGTTATCAGTGGTGGTTCGACCAGGGATAAAACTACTCTGGTTGGGGCTGACCACCTTAACCAGGAGATTTCTAAGTCTGCTAACCAAAGTCTTAGTAAGAGTTTTGTAAAGGACATTACAGAGACTAATGGGTCTGAACTGATTGACAGATTTAGGGTTTTCAACCTTGGGAATGAGAGTGATGAGTGTAGTGTTAATGCTAGGGGGAAGATCTCTACGGGAGAAGCAAGTCCTAACAAAATTACAAACAGAGGAGCCCACGATATCCCAATAAGTGTGGTAAAAAAGAGATTGAATACCGTTGGAACCGGGGGCCTTAAAAGCTTTGATAGACTTCATAGCTTTCCAGATTTCAATGTTGGAGATAGGTTTACACAGCTCCATATTCTCATCCACTGTGAACTTGGATAACAACCCATGAATCCAAATAGGCTCAAAAGAAGCGGATGCGAAGGTAAACATCTCCTCAAAGTAACTCCCAACATGATTTTTCAAAATAAAAGGATCAGAGATCCAATTGCCAGCACCATCTTTCAAAGTGTTAACTCTAGAATTCCTTTTACGAGTCAGAGTGGCCATATGAAAAAATCTAGTATTACGTTCTCCCATGGTAATCCAATTACTACAAGATTTTTTAAACCAAATTAATTCCTCTTGGAAAAGAATTTTGTTATAATCGTGGATGAGCTCTTTTTCAAGCAAAAACAAGTTATGAGAAAACTTAGTAGATTGAGCTTTTTGGATACCCTCAATTCTACCAAGAAGCCAGCATTTGTTACGAAAAACATTACCAAAAATATTTTTATTCCAAAAAACAGCTTTAGAAGTAATCAAGGGGATGGCTTCCAGGACGGAGTTATCAGCAGCCGTCCAGGACTCCTCAACTAAACTTCTAAAGCTAGGATTAGTGAACCAAGCAGCCTCCATTCGAAAAGGTCTAAAAAGAGGTGTAGGATTAACAATACCTTCGGTGTAGACGATCAAAGGAGAGTGGTCGAAATATGTCCTCGGAAGGTTCCTAACTTCTCCCTTTTGGAATTGAAGTCTCCATTCAGTATTACAAACAGCACGGTCCAGGGTGTTAGCCAGGCCTTGCCTCCCATTAGTCCAAGTGAGACGTGGGCCTGAACATCCAAGATCCATGAGTTTACACCTATTCAGACGAGCTTGGAATTTGCGAGTCCTTGTGTGATCTTGTGCGGAGGAGAAGCTTCGCTTTTCATTCTGACTAGCGAAATCATTAAAATCACCTGTAACTAGGCACGGCTCAGTCATGTTATCAGCCACAGATTCAAGATTCTCCCAAAGAGCATCACGGGATCGGGGAATAGGGCTAGCGTACACTGCTGAGAGTATCCAATCCGAGAAATTATCGCGTTTGATCTTGGCGTGAATAACTTGTGAGTTTGCATCCAAGGCCATAACTGTAGATTTAAAGGTATCCCAAAGCATCCAAATGCCGCTACATTTACCAACAGGATCCATATGAGTAGACGCAGTAAAACCCAGCTTGTTGAAAAACAGTCCCATAGAACTAAGTTGTACTTTGGTCTCTATAAGAACTAAAATAGTTAGTTTATGGATCGATATGAACTTACGCAAGTTGCGTTTAAAAACTTTATTACCCGCACCCCTACAATTCCATACAAGCAACTTCATGGATGACGAGTTTGGATAGTCAGGAAGGGGGCAATAATCAGGAATCCCTATGATTTTTTGTACACGAATGCGGTCGTTCACCATGGCTCATGTTGGACCGATCAGAAGGCTATGATTTACTGCCCTGTAGCTCTCCAAGTTAAGATCTATTTTTACGCGGGCTTCCTCTATCCACCATTCGGTTACGATTAGGTGAGTAGCTTCTATCTCTTGATCTATTGCAATATACATCTAGTTGCAGGTGATTCTGTGTTTGAGGACCTCCGGGAGCACCATGATCCAAAGGTACCATTGGATTGGGCTGAGGGTTGGGAATAGTCATTAAGGTAATGGTGGAAGAGGGTGGGTTGGTAGTCTTTGTAGAATCACAATTCAAATGAAGGAGAACTGGCGTAGGTGGAGCTAAAGTTGGGCTAGTGGTCAGGTTCACAGAACCATCAATGCATTCTGCAGCTATAACAGAGGGTGTAGTCATCTCAGTATCAGTAACGCGAGGTTGTAAACAGTCAAAGGGATTGGAAGTGAACTCATTACCTCTACGTATCATATCAATAGACTGACCTTCACCCGATTTCTATGATTTTTTATCCAACATATTATCTTTCCTTCCAACCTGTTTTGGAAGTGGCTAGTTAGGTGTAGAAACTTTCAAGCTTGGGCCTGGGTCAGAAGTTGATGAGTTGTTCCCATAACGAGGTCTATGGTTGGGGTGGGTGGGCCTTTGGATACTTTTTCCATTGGGCTTAGAAATTGGGCCAAGCCTTCTATTCTTGCGGTCCACAAGCATCCATGGCCCAAATTTACCCTCCTCCTTGTCTGTGGGCTCATGCAACGGCATCTGACTTGACTGGGTTGGGCCTTTTTTGTTTCCGGAATCATTGGCAACGGTAATAATCTGGTTAGCAGAGACATCGGCGTTCCGCAGATTCACCGTTGATAGTGGCTTTTCACTGCACCATTCCCGTCGGTGTCCAACCCTGCCACAAGTGAAACAGAAGGTGTGTAAGTGTTCATACTCAATAAAATAGGTATACTTACCAATAGCAAAAAGAGAAATAAGGGGCTTGTTAAGATCCATTTCAATGCAGACACGAGCATATTTGCCCCTAGACGAGGTAGCTGTATTAAGGTCGATCTTGAGAGGTTTGCCAATCATTTTTGCAATATGAAAAAGCACTTTCTCATCATAGTATTCGATGGGTAATTGGGGAAATCGGACCCACAGTGCTGATGTAGTTTCTTTGGCTGCCGACGGTTTGAAATCAGGCGTCCATTTCCGAACAGTGAGATAGTGATCGAGGACAATCCAAGGGCCCCCTGTATAGACATCGGAGTAGTCCTCCTTCATTTGGAATTTATTAAGAAGGAGGAAACCAGAGTCAAGATCAATAGCTTCGAAATCCCCCTGAAGATCCCAAATCTTTCGAATCTTTGACATAAGAAGTTTGTACCTAACCTTCTTACCCAAGAGCTTGATGATTAAGCAGTTCTTCCAAGGTTTTCGGATCTTAGCTAGAAGCTTCTTAGGAAGGGAGATTCGTGGAATACCCAACGTCTCCAAGTCCGGGTTCGTAAGGTCGTCGATCTCCTTATCATCACTTACAAACTCATCGTCAGTGAGTAGATCCTCTAACCCTTCCTCAAATAGTCTCTCGTTAGATCGTTTATTGATGAGAGCCATTTAAAAAGATTTAGGGTTAGGTTCCTGAGACCTAATTAGTACTGTAGCATCATTGCACAGAGGGGCCGAAACATCTTCAGACTGAGGACCCCCAGCCGGGTTATCAAGCATGGTATCATCATCGTTCACGTTGGCTCCTTTGATCTTCTTTGTGCTTCGAGACAGGTGGTCTTCTTCTTCAGAAGTTCTAACACAAGTATAACTGGTTTTTCCATCAGAAGAGCAGAGAGACGTTTCAGAGGGAGAAGCCATTTCGGATTCTCATCGTTTCTCATAATAAAATTTTAAGCTTAAGAAGTTACTCTAGTAGGTGAGATTCTCTTTTATCAAGTGTGATGTTGAGTATGAATTTTAGTGTTCGAAGTGAAATTTTCCTTCCCTTATTTCTCTCTTACCGATTATATAAAATAAATAAATAATGGACAGCCAAGGAGGAGGTAATGTGATATAATCAAGCGTTCAACTTTGTATATAATTTATAAATTCAAATAAAATAAAAATCATAAACATATTATATATAAATATATAGACTCAATCATGACTAAAAATTTGTTAATTGTGGGTTTTGTTAATTTTTTGCCATATATAAGAGATTAATATTACATATGTAAGAATAATTATATCAAATTAAATAATTATAGCTCAGAGTGCATATATACAAATCAACACGTCAACCACTACAAATCACCAATCATACAACAAAAAGATATGAAACTCATTTTCATAAGAGTTGAAGCCTGTAACTTCACACCACAAAATCCAACAAAGTGATTAACTTTGGCGAGGAACATGTATTCTCAACTCTTTTTTTTTTAAAGTGGTATTTTTATCTTTGCTTGGAAGAACAGTTTATAAGACTTCCACGAATTGTTCCCAAAAATATATAGTATTATGCTAACTGTTATGATAAAAAATAAAATAGCAACCACATGAAACAAAAATATGCATGATCAATTAATTTTTAAAATGTGAAATTTAAACATTAAATTGAAAGGAAAAGTTTATTCAAACAGTATTACGCATGAGTAATGAGACCAAACAAATTGTTACCTACATTAAAGATATATATATTTAGGACAAGGTTTCTCTTCAGTTCACAAAGTGAACTAAACGGTATTGTTGGGTCCATAGAGCCTGCAATGGGTCTCATTTCGATAATTTGAACCGTTTATTATGTAGAATTCGTCGAATACTTCATCTTTGTAAAAAATCACGTTGATCGGATATCGGTAGTCTTTTAATCGGATCATATTTTTTTAATGGTAAATATAATTTTAAAAATAAATTGTTGACAAAAATATGTTCTGATCAAGGGGCTATCAATATCCGATCAACGTAATTTTTACAGGATGAAGTACTCGACAAGCTCTACATATTGAATAGTTCAGATTATCGAAATGAGATATGTGGTGGGCCTCACGGTCCCAACAACACCGATATATTTATTATGAGTCAGGTCTCATTTCGATAATTTGAACCGTTTATTATGTAGAATTCGTCGAATACTTCATCTTTGTAAAAAATCACGTTGATCGGATATCGGTAGTCTTTTAATCGGATCATATTTTTTTAATGGTAAATATAATTTTAAAAATAAATTGTTGACAAAAATATGTTCTGATCAAGGGGCTATCAATATCCGATCAACGTAATTTTTATAGGATGAAGTACTCGACAAGCTCTACATATTGAATAGTTTAGATTATCGAAATGAGACATGTGGTGGGCCTCACAGGCCCAACAACACCGAACTGGAGAGAATCTATTTCCGTGTATTTATTATGAGTCAGATAAATTTTTTAAGTGAGATGAATTTTGGTTATCAAACACATTTAATTTATATTTACTATAATAAACTCATCTTTAGATGTAACAACCACAACAACAACAACCAAAAAAAAAATCATCTTTAAATGCTGAATTGAGTTATTAAGCTGTTTCTAATAAAAAAAATCTTATAAATATTTCATTGTGTTCATAAATTATTTACAAAATGACCCGGTATCTTGGGTCTAATTGTAATATGAGAGATAGAAGCGGATGTTAGAATTCAAATATTATCAAATAGTAAAAAATCATATACAAAACGTTAAATATCATCATATATTAAAGTTAAAAATATGTTTTGAAATGTTTTTCTTTTCTTTTTGTTTTTTTATCTAGTATCTATACTACTATTGTTTTTATTATAATAAGAAAGTGCAGGACTAATACACTGCCATCTTTCTACTAACTGAAAGGGTAAAGATGTAAAATTAAATACAAACAAAAAGAATAATATGTAAAATTACTACTAATTAAAAGATAAATATAAATGAGAAATGCTTTGTAGATTTACAAAATTATCGAAAAACTATACACTACTAACACTACTTGCATGGGTATAGTGTGTACCTATTTAACAAAATCAGATAAATAGCGTGAAAAGTGGGTTATGGAAGAAAAAGTAGGATAGAAGGAGAAAGAGTAGGCGTAAGATCAATTAATAAATAGTAAATGATACATATATATAAAAAAGAGAGAGAAAAACTTGGTAATAAATCCAATTTAAGGAGGGTATAAGGCATTAGGATTCATGAATAGTTTTTGTTGGTGAGAGATCCATTATGAAATAGTTTGATGAGAAGTCTTTTTGTTATTTTGGGAGGACATTTTGTTTCTAATTTTATCTCTTAATTTATTTGTTGACTTTTTTGACTATATGTTTAAATTTATATTTATCTGTTCAAATTATTTTATATCCGTTCAAGTTTTTTGTCTATCTGTTGAATTTGTATAATCTATTTTTTCTATTTGTTCAAATTCACACCATTTTCAAACTTTCTTTCTCTATCTATTCCTCTATCCAGTTAAAATTACTACTAATTAAAAGATAAATATAAATGAGAAATGCTTTGTAGATTTACAAAATTATCGAAAAACTATACACTACTAACACTACTTGCATGGGTATAGTGTGTACCTATTTAACAAAATCAGATAAATAGCGTGAAAAGTGGGTTATGGAAGAAAAAGTAGGATAGAAGGAGAAAGAGTAGGCGTAAGATCAATTAATAAATAGTAAATGATACATATATATAAAAAAGAGAGAGAAAAACTTGGTAATAAATCCAATTTAAGGAGGGTATAAGGCATTAGGATTCATGAATAGTTTTTGTTGGTGAGAGATCCATTATGAAATAGTTTGATGAGAAGTCTTTTTGTTATTTTGGGAGGACATTTTGTTTCTAATTTTATCTCTTAATTTATTTGTTGACTTTTTTGACTATATGTTTAAATTTATATTTATCTGTTCAAATTATTTTATATCCGTTCAAGTTTTTTTGTCTATCTGTTGAATTTGTATAATCTATTTTTTCTATCTGTTCAAATTCACACCATTTTCAAACTTTCTCTCTCTATCTATTCCTCTATCCAACTCTCTTTTCTCTCTCTCTATCTGTTTCTCTCTCTATCTCTCTTCTCTCTATATCTTTTGGAAAATCTCTATTCATTTTTTTACATTTTGTATCTGTTGAAATACCAAAACAAAACAAATTCTATTTGTTCAAATCTCTATTTTCTCTTTCCATATATGTTGCAATATGTTTCAACACCATCATCATCAACAAGAATTACCAAAAAAAACAAAAGATTTTAGATCATCATCGTCGTCATCTCTACCACCACCACCACTAATAACAACTAGCTAAACCAAAACCAAACCAAACCAAACCAAGCCATAAGTCCCATCAAATGGGTTGGTTGCATAAATCTTTCTTTTCCACTCGACTCTATCCAAGGCCATTTCATTAGTTAAATTAAGAAAATTCATATATCTATTCACTACACTAGTCTACGTCAGTCTAAGTCTACCCATTCCCCTAACAACAACAACAACAACAACAACAACAACTACAAAATAAAATAAATAAATAGATCTCAAATATGAGACTATCTGTTTAGATCGATCTGAGAAATCTGATAGAGATAGAGAGAGCAAGATCTAGATCAAAGACTATTAGATTTGGATCTGGATCCGACAGTGGTGCCTCCATCGGTTTTTGAACGTGAATGAGAGTAGAGTTTGTGTTATTCCAGACCGAAGCACATCTCGACTTCTACCGTCGCTGATGAAGCACATCGGGAAGGTACGCCTTCGCTAAGCTCTACTATGTTGTCTTGACAGATCTAGATCTTCCATAACCAACAATTTCGACATTACTGTAAGGTTAAGGTTATCGCGAATGATTAGGAGGAGGGATGAGACAGTAAAGGTAAAGACAAAGTAGATCTATCAGTGGCGACGAAGGAAGAGAGATCAATGAGCAATGACGAAGGAGAAAGAGAAGGTGGGTGTGGGCTGACAGAGATGGAAGAGCTAGAGAGAGAAAGAGATGAAAGGGTTTTAGAGAGAGAGATGGAACCATCGACAAAAGCAATGACATTAAAACAATCACTAGAGACATCACCACCACCGGTGCTAGTAGCGATGGATGTGGTGGTGTCGGAGATGAAAAGTAATAGAGAAAGAGAAGAGAGAAGAGAGAAAGAGAGATGTTTAAGGTTTAGGATAAGAGAGAGCGTGTTGTGGACTTTTGGTTTCAGAGGAGAGAGAGAGAGAGAGAGAGAGAGAGAGAGAGAGAGAGAGAGAGAGAGAGACGATTTTATATATAGAGGGGTATTTTGGTCATTTTACTTAACCATGTCCTTATGGACAAAATATTTCAACACCTAAACTTTTGGCCAAACAAAATTGAGATTTGGATTTATGGACCAAGTCCCCTAAAATAAAAACACAAATTTCAATTAACCAACATGTAAAATTACTACTATTAAAATACAGTTGTATAAAATAAAACCATATAAATAGGAACAACTAGGTCATAAGTCCATTTTTGAATCATTCAAGCCATTAGCCCAAGTTTTAATCTTTTTAGGCTAAAAGAACACGATTTGTCCAAACAGATAACTTTCTGTTGAAATCAACCTATCTGTTTATCAGTTGAAATCAATATGTTTGTTGAAATCGTCCTTTCTGTCTATCTGGTACTAATATTTATATACGACAGGTTAACCCTTGCTAATAAAATGTAGAGAAATAATGATTACATTAGCGACGATTTATTACTGTCGCAAAATAATTATTTTCATAAAATAAATATATATTTTATTAATTCATTCCCTATACAAATTATTAATATTTTCTAAAATTAAATACATCCACATCCACATTTACAATCACATTCACAAAATTATATATACGAATAATATATATATATACCCTATAACAATACGGTATCAACCAAACATTTTTTACAAAAATATATAAAACATCCTCCAACAGTACTAAAAAAAATTTATA